TCTGAGGTGAGACCATGAGACTACAGAGGAGACTGAGAACACCAGAGAGAGAACAGAGAAAGAGCACAAAGATTCATGGGGGACTAGGAGGCTGTTTCTTCCCTAGCCTCCAGGGTTGGGGGGAGCCTGCCTGGCCTGCTTGCCTGCCTGCTGGTCTGCTTGTTGTACCTGGGTCCATGTTCTAGCATTGAAAGACCCGTAAAACTCTATACATGCCTTAAGACTCTCGTTATCCATCTGCCCAAATCGACCGAGAACCTGCCCACCCTGGGCCTGCTTGCACTAGACCCCCATACTGTTTTCCATAGCAGTTTTACCATTTTACATTCCCAAGAGCAGTGCACAGGGTTACAATTTCTCCACATCCTCACCAACACTTGCCATTTTCTGGACTATTTTTATAGTAGTCATCCTACTGAGTGTGAAATGGTCTCTGTGTGGTTTAGTTTGCATTTCCCTAAAAATTCGTGAGACTGAGCATTTTTTCCTGGACTTACTGGCAATTTGTGTGTCTTTGAGAAAATGTCCATTTACATACATTCTTTGCTCATTTTTTATCAGGTCGTTTGGTTTTTTTTGGTGGTTGTGAGTTGTTTTCTACATATTCAAGATATTAATCCCTGTTAAATAATATAACTAAGACATTCACCACAAGTTTGGTATAATTTATTCAAGGGGAAACACTCCACAGATTGGGGTACAGTGCCACACGAGCAGTGGAGCACTCTTGCTGTGGGGTTCTGAGCAAGAGCAAGTTTTATAGAGCTTTAGAAACGGCAATGTGGAAACTGGGCATAATAGACTGAGGCTGCATATCTGACATTATTTAGAAAGCTCAAGGAACAAGGAAATAAACACAGCCACTGAGCTGGCTCCACATCCCGACTGGATAGATGGTATTTCTGGTCAAGCAGAGCAGGAGTGGCTCTGCCCTGGTCCTAGAAATTTATTTCAACATACCATATGCACTGAAAGATTTGTAAATGCTTCTTCCATTCACTGGGTTGCTTTTTTACTCATTAAATAGAGTAGTGTTTTGATGCACCAAAGTTTTTCATTTTGAAGTCCAATTTGTCTATTTTCCCCTTTGTTGCATGGGACTTTGGTGTCACATCCAAGAAATTACTGCCAAATCCAATGCTATGAAGTTTTCCCCTCAGCATCATTTTAATGAGTCATTTTTATGAGTTATGGAAAAACATCTTTAGATGGAACAAGAAGACAACCAATATCCAGAGGAGGGTATTGCTGTTTTGAAACTCAGCTCACATGTTAACTAATCCTTGCCATCAGACTCTGACCACCTCTGCTAAGAAATAACCTGCTTCTAATCAGCAGTAATAGGCAACAATATGAAGAGTCTCCAATTCCACATTAACATGTATGCTCTTCTGTGGATCCAAATTCCTTTACAGGATACTAGAGCCAAACAAAGGGGGAGAAGAACCACCCCTCCAGTTTGCTTAACTAACTTACTCTTCTTGGGTCTCCGGGCATGGTCTGAGCAGCCAAATCACCAATACCGGGAAGTCTTTCATTAGCAAGCTCACCAATGAGTCAATGTGTACCCCTGTTCTAAACACTCACTAGCACAGGCTTTGAGGCAATCCTGTCAAGCTGACAAGGCTTCCAAACAGGAAATTATAACAAGTAACAATGACTGATCAAGGCTGTTATGCCCCTTTGAAGACCAACACTCATGCCAACGAAACCATCATCACCGTGACATTGTTCAATGTAGGAAAGCCATAGAAGCAGAACTGAATTAGCCTGAGTAGAAGGGAGAATAACTACAAAGTTCTTCTCTCCTTCCAAATCAATCCTGATCTTCCTTGGGAAGTGTGCTTTAGGGAGGACAGAGGGAAAGTTTGGACAGACTTGAGTTTGCAGCTCTATTTTAACAGGTATAGCTTGTCAAACCTGCACCTCAGTTTCCTCATTTGTTAATAGAAAGAATGAAGTCTGGCATCACATCATGAAAATTGTCGATTTCAAAGTGCCTGGCATGCACTATAGCTAATATTCCTGGTGGCGATTACCATAGTGAGCTGCGTGTGTCTCACTGAAGTTCTTAAGTTCAGCAATCATGCCTTATTAGCCTTTAAGCTCCCAGTACATAACAGATCCCCAATGGACAGTCACAAGAATAATCTGTCCCTTAACTTCTGTATATCATTCAATTGTGAGTAAGAGGTGGAAAAATCAATAAAGCACTGCCCCAATGCCAGCTTCCTCTCAGGAGCTGCACATCAGGAGAACAGTGATTCAAAGGTTTGACAGATAAAAGAAGCATTAGGGAGAAGAGCTACTTCCAAAGCGTTTTGCATAACAATACACCCACAGATTTTTAACGCAGAACTTTCCCCCCAATTCCTTATAGATTCATTAAACTGACAGCTTGGCACCAGCATATGGATACCTGTTTTCTATCTAACACAAGCTGTACATGTGCCCCATGTTTAATACACTCTATGAATTTATAAGCAACTATGTAGAAATAAGAACACAGAAAACAAAGAAAAGATACTGTTGTCTCAATAAAAAACAGTAAGTGTCTCCTTTGTGTCCTCCTACTCCAATTGGTTATATTTGGTTCGGGGTTGTTTTCCTTTGCTCCAAGAGTTTAATCACAGCAGATTCTATTTGCCTATTAGAGGAGGCTGTGCTCTAGGCTGATGCCACTCAGTGTAGATCCTACCGAAGACATACATTCTTGCACCAGAATGGAAAATCAGTGCTTTGCTTCTTCAAAATGCCTTGCCATGAAAGGCATGTCAGCTCAAGAAAACCATGATTGTGCAGAACTGGCACAATCTTCTTTTGAACAGGTAAAAAAAGAGCTCTCAGACTGGCCCGGCCTGGGGTTTCACACCACAAAGCATTGATCTAGGTTACAGAACAACATGTCTGCCTGAGAACATACTAGGTTGACATTTACGATGCACTTATGAGGGGTTTTAGCCACCTAGAATTCTTATCCCATCATTTGGCAAAGTATCCCAATACTGAGGATCTATGGGATTTGAGCAGAAGATGCTATACTACCAGGACTGACCAAACAGCACTCTGAGACCTCTCAAGTCACAGTGACTGTTTCAGAGAGGACGTGATCTAGGACTGGCCAATCAGCATGATCCAGCCTCCTGGTAGCCTGCAGACCTGGGGTGGGCAGTGGCTGTGACCGATGCAATCAGAGTGAATCTTAGGACTCAAGCAGGAGATACAAGGAAGACATTCTTTCTATTAGACGTAAATTGCGAATATGTGAGTCTCTAGTCAACACCACCTGTGAGAGGAGAGCCTGGTTCTGAACTGGAACAAAGACAGAGAAGAGAAATGAAAGACAGAAACTGGATTCTGAGTATGTCAGAGCCTCTGAGTCAAGGCATGTCTGAAGGAGATTTCTATCCTCTGTCTTTTCATTAACATGAACCAGTAAATTTTCCTTTTGCTTAATTTGTGACTTTGCTGACACCTGCAACTAAAACAGTATGAAGTTATTTCTGTGTGAGTACTATACTCTGAGCTCATTCTAAAATTTATATATGAATTGGTCCTACAGAGACAAATCTGAAAAGGCAAAATGTGAGGAATCAGGAGAATTGCCTCTATCTGGGACTAGAGACAGGTTACCAAAACTTCCCCCACCTGAGTTCCTTCTTCTGTCAGGTGATTAGCACCTGCCTCTGTTCTATGGTGTCAGAATCACACAGAAGGATTTAGAACAAGTCACTCTGGAAACATAAAAAAGGCACAGTATAAACAAAATATTAGCATAACACCTTACTTATTAAAACCTCAAAATTCTGACATCCACAATTATGCAGAGCCGATAAAAATTTTAAAGCCTTTGAACAACACATTGACTTTTATTAAATCCTGTATCTGCTGTAGGAGAGGAAGCAGCCTCTGTAGGTCAGAGGATGAGAAGTGAGGCAGTGAGCCCCTGAGGGCCTGACAGAACAAAGCAGGAGAGAGGTCTTGGGGTCTGGGCTGAGCACCAGTATGCACCACAGATCATTTCTACGGCCCACCCGGGATGTTTCTCCCCCAATGCACACATCATCCATCTGTTCAAGCTTATGAATGGTGAAAGAATAACGATTTAATATAGACAGTACCACTACTGATTCTCAACCCCTATTTTGCAACTTTAGAGTTGTCATAACAATAACATTGTTATTCAGTTAGGCATATTTTATTTCCTTTTACAGTGTTCATATGTGAGATCCAACAGACCAACACAACAATAAACTTTATTTTAAAAGATTTAGTTGTTTTGAAAATTTCACATTTTTCCAAAAGTCAATAGTGATTTTCTGATTAAAAAAAAAAAGACTTAGTAATCAGAGAACAGAAAGAGAGAGGCATTGGTGTTGCTTCTGATTTTTAAGCAGAGTTCTGAGTATCTGGTCAGCGGTATCATTAATGGATTTCCTTTTAATGACAAAATAACTAAATCTGGGGGAGTCCATGTAATGTAACTGGAAGTTTGTTCTTCAAACTCTTTTGAGGAGTTCCATTCTGGGGGAGGGACTGGGAAGATCTATGGACACTTGTTTTACTAGTGTCACCATGTGCTGGGTGGCAACTCTGCCAGGCATTTACATCCATGAGTTAGCCCAGCATGCCCCAGCCCATATTATCAGTGGACAGGATTACAGTTGCCAGAAGCAAGGAACAGATTGAGTCTTCCTCGCCACTCCTGAGGCGGGCTGGATCCAAGCAGACCCGTCTGTGGCTACTCTCTCTTCCTGCTTCTCCATCTGTGCCTTTCCAGCTTGTAAAGCAAGCTGGCCGTTCCCAGTTATCTGCTTATATTCAATCTAGAGAAGTGGGTAAAAAGACCCCATGTTGGCCTCAAGTCCAAGACTTGCTCTCCAATGTAGCTATTCCATTATTAAAGTGGATGCTTCCCGCTATTGATTCAAGGCACAGTAAGTTGAAAGGCAAAGGGGAAGAGGTGAGGGGATGATCTTTGCAAAGCCTCTAACACTTACCAGTCTGGACAATGCTCTGGAACCAGCATAGATTATACCCACAAATAACACTGAGGCAGGAAGCCACGTCAAAATACCAAATCTGAAAAGAGGGAAAGAGACCACAATACTTGTCATTTTATGTCCAAAAGGCCCAAAGAATGCAAAAACTCCTATGTTCATTTCATTACTATGTATAATAGCCAAGTTGTGGAAACAATCTAAGTGCCCAACCACAGATGAATGGGTAAGAAAATACGGTATACTCTGCATACAATGAAATACTACTCAGCTATAAAAGAGATGATATCTTGCCATTTGCAACAACATGATGGAACTGGAGAGGATTTTGCGAAGTGACATAAGTTATAAGGAGAAAGACAAATACCAGATGATCTTACTCATACGCAGAGTAAGGAAAACCAAAACAAGACAAAACTAAACCAGAACAGACCCTAGAATTATGACTGCAGAATTGTGGTTACCAGAGGGAAAGGTGATAAGTGGGGAGCAAAGGGGAAAGAGGGTCCAGTGGACAATGGTGGAGGACTATGAGTGCAATGATGGTAGGTATGATGTGACAGAGGTGGGAACCTACTCCCTAATTCATACACAGTGAAATGAAGCAATGTTACCTCAATAAAAAATTATTTTTTAATTGAAAAAAATAAAAAGACTTAGCTGGAAGGTGAGACCTTTCAGGTGTACCAAACATAGCAACAGTTTGTCTAACCATTCCTGAGTGCCCCCTGGGGGTGACGAAAGCTGACAAAGTCACCACACCTAAGCCGGTCACCCTGCCTACTACCTGGCATTACTGATTCCACTATAGGGCACAGATGAGCAGGTGTTGGAAAAGACCTCCTGCAGGAGAGAGAAGTCGACTGTTTTACAGGGAAATGAATATTGTTCTTTAGAATTTGAGTAGTCAAAGGCTATGAACCTACACCAAATTAGAAACTGTAAAGGTGGCTTACCTGGGAGATATATCAAACAGTAAAAGGTACCAGTGTCAAAGGACAGAATTTAAAAATAAGAGTGTTAGACAAGAACCATCTTACACCAGTGAGAATGGTACATATTTAAAAAACTAGCAACAATAAATGTTGGCGAGGATGTGGAGAAAAAGGAACTCTCCTGCGCTGCTAGTGGGAGTGCAAACTGGTCCAACCACTATGGAAAGCTGGAGAGTCCTCAACCTGCTAAAGATCAAGCTTCCATATGATCCAGCAATTCCACTCCTAAGTATTTACCCAAAGGACACAGAAACATTAATTCAAAAGGGCACCTGACCCCTATGTTTATAGCAGCACTATTTACAATAGCTAAGCTATGGAAACAACCCAAATGCCCAAAAATAGATGACTGGATCAAGAAGATGTGATACATATACACAATGGAATATTACTCAGCAATCAAAAAAGATAAACCCATGCAATTTGCAGCAACATGGATGGAGCTGGAAGGGATCATGCTCAGCGAAATAAGCCAGAAAGAAAAAGAAAAATATCAGATGGCTTCACTCATAGCAGGAATTTAGAAAATCTAAATAAGGGAACATGAAAAAGACTAATTATAATAAAGTAAAAATCAAAATTAACAAGCAATTATAAACTATAAATCAAAATCAACAAGCAACTCACTCATAGCAGGAATTTAGAAAATCTAAATAAGGGAACATGAAAAAGACTAATTATAATAGTGTAAAAATCAAAATCAACAAGCAACTATAACCAGAGATACACTATGGGGGGGGGGAGGAGGGAGGAGGATCAAAACAAGGGGGGTGGGATTTGTATGGGGACTACAACCAAGATGAAAATGCATACATTGTGCAAAAATGAAAAATGATGTAAAAAATATATAAAATTAAAAATAAATAAATATATATATAAATTTCTGGGAAAATACAGTTTTAATGTATGGTAATAAGCTAAAAAAAGTAAGGGGTATATAACTAATATCCATATTTCTATATCAATTTATCACCTATATATAAATTCTTCATGTTAGTCCATTTGAAATGCTACCAGTGCTTTTGCTGACAAAATATAAATATTACTGTATTGAAATCAATTATTTTCTTTAATATTAAGCTTCTTATGTATTTGGAATTCCACAAACAATTTTCTTCTAGAAATTACTTCATGATTATATTCCTTTTGGTTATACTCTATTTTTTGCTTCAAATAAACAATTCTCTTTTTTTTTTTGAGAAAAAAAAAAAGTGTTAGACAAGAGACTATGGTGACGGTTCACCGATGACTTGGTGGAGGGAATTTTATGGGGACTACACCTGAGAGGAAAAATCAAACATTATACAAAAATGAACAATGATGTAAAATATCTATACATTTAATAAATATATTTAATACAAATAAATAAGAAAAAAATAGGCAAGCTGGAACTGGAGCCAGAGGCCATGTGCTGAATTCTTCAACCATGAACCCAAAATACTGGTTCAGCAAATTTTTAAGGACTTCTGAAAGGCGCATTTCTTTGATTGAACTAGCCACACCAAGAACAGTTTTTATCACTACAGTATAAAATCTTGCTCTCCTCATGAAAAGCAAAATCCAGGTTTGACATACAGTACATATCAGTGAAGTTGCCTTTTGCATCCCCCTATCAAATGCATTGCAAATACATTCAGTCTACTAATTCAAGTTTCCAGTCATTCTAGTAATAAATATAAATTAATAAAATCATTCCAGCTGGATATAAAATAATAATTCCAAGTAACTCAATGAACTGCTCTCCTAGATGGTGCCTGTTCAAGAAATGTCGTTTGTTAATTTTATTAGCATGGGCAGGCACTCCATCCATAATCAGACTTTCTTTTCTAGACTTTCTCAAGGTACCTTGTATTAAAAAGTTTCTACTCTCTAGTAAAGCCTTCAAATCCTAGTTCCTATATACATTAATTCAGCAAATACTTAAAGCAACGTGCTAAGGGTGACAGCACCAGAATTACTAACAGCAGCATCAGCTATGATTTATTGCATGCTTGCCACAAACCAGTCATGGTGCTAAGTGTTTTCTAGCTATGGTTTTTTAAAATCTTCACGGCAAACTTATTCAAGAAGTATTATGATTATTACTTATTATTGTATGAGGAAACTGAAGCACAAAGAGTTTACGTAATTTGTCTGACAAAAATGGCAAAGCCAGAATGTGAGTTCTGGTCTAACTCTAAAGCCCTAACTTTTGCCCACCTTTCCTACTTTACCCTCAAGGACATCAAGATCTAAAAAGCGACACTGAATTACTACTTTAGGGGACCTCACATGCAGTGTCTGCAGCTAGGGACTCCAGGTTGGCCAGGTTCAGGTAATCTTAAATTGTGAGAGGAATAGTGAGAAGCAACCTTCAAGCCATTGGGTGGCCTTCATAGCCAACTTGATGGTAGAAGTTGGAGCTTTCTAGACTCCACCTTGATAGTAGAAGGTGGGGATTTTCAAATCCCGCCCCTCAGTGGGGGATGATGGGAAATAAGGGTAGAGTTGAAGGCTTTTGGACAATTAATCTGCTAGTATTTGGGGGCAAGTAAACTGCTGGGGTTCTTGATCAGTTAAACTGCTGGGCTTCGGCAGTTTAGCTACTGGCTTCTGGCAGTTAACCACTGATAAGGAAGGGTGTCTTTCTTGCCACTTTCAGCTTTGGCCTGGACCTCAGTATGCTCAGCAGACACTCTGAGGTAGGACAGAAAGCATCAGGCCACATGGCAACCTATAAATTCTCTCTCCCCATTTTTTTCCTCACTCCCTGTGTAATAAATCCCACTAGTGTTATTTTACACTGTGTCTGCTTTTAGGTCATGTCCTGCAGTCATAAGTGCATGGGTGGGATCCACCAACCAGTTACCCTACCAGGTTTGATCAGTTTCAGAACTTCTGAAAGGCACATTTCCATGTGGCCACACCGAGAACTGCTTTTTCAGTTCTTGAAACAACTATCCACAGGACTGACTTCTTAACAAGTTCATTATTTCCTCTAGTTATTTTTTTCCTCTTCTTCCTACATCTGAGGGTTTCCTTTTTATTATTGTTCACTTTTAAACAATATTTGCTTCCTCCCACCCCCTCAGGTGTAGTCCCCATAGAGTTTCCTTCACCAATGCACCAATGCACCGGTGTACCATCACCTCAGTCCCCTGTGCTCCTCCCTCCCTCCCTCGGATCCTTCTCCCTCCTCCTCCCCTGCAGTATGTCTCTGATTTATAATTGTCTGTTTTTGCTTTGTTGTGTTTTTTACTGTTATTATTTTTCTACACTGATGTCTTATTCGGTTCCCTTATATTCCTGCTATAAGTGAAATCATCCGATAATTTTCATTTTCCTTCTGGCTTATTTCACTGAGCGTAATTCCTTCTAGTTCCATCCATTTTGCTGCAAAAAGGAACTCTCCTACATTGCTGGTGGGAGTACAAACTGGTCCAACTACAATGGAAAGCTGTCTGGAGGTTCCTCAGTCTACTAAAAATGGAGCTACCATACGCCTGGCAATTCCACTACTCGGGATCTACCCAAAGGACACAAAAACATTAATTCAGAAGAATACCTGTACCCCTATGTTTATTGCAGCACTATTTACAATAGGTAAAACCTGGAAACAACCCAAATGCCCAAAAACAGATGACTAGATCAAGAAGATGTGGCATATATACACAATGGTATATTATTCAGCAATCAAAAAAGACATTTCCTCTAGTTTTTAACATGTGGAAGGGATGTTTCAGGTTGACTGAACTGACTTCATTTTGTGCCCAAGACTCCTTACTGACCTTTTAGCTTGGGGGAAAAAAAAACAAAACAAAAAACCCACTGACTGGCAATGAAACAAAAGTTTCCAGCTAGGGGCCTCCCCGGTGGTGCAGCGGTTGCCGCCCACTGCTCCCCTCAGCAGTGTACTTCGGTCTTTCTGCCTGCTCTGCTCCCTGCTCTGGCTCTGGTGAATTCTCTCACCCTCCCACGCCTCTGACTGTACCCAGTGCTTGTATAAATAAATAAATAAATAAATAAATAAATAAATAAATAAATAAATCTTTAAAAAAAAAAAAAAAGTTTCCAGCTAGATATGCCCTTCTTCTATAACTATACAAAA